AATAGTCTTAAACTCTCTTAATGATCTTTCATTTTGTTTATTTTTTTTTTATCTAGTAAAGCATGCCCCAAATTATATGTATAAAAAATAAAATACTTATCAAGGCTTCAAACAATAAAATATATATATTTATTTAAGTAGCTCATGTGTAACATGAATAAAGATTTATTACTTGTTTAACATGAGAAACATAAATTTTATTTATTTTTTTGGCATAATGAAACATATAAAATATCTTTTTGTGGGTACATGCATGAGAAAAACTTATATAATAAATATTTAGATTAATTGTCCCCAAATTTATAATCAAGCTATATAATAGATAGATTTTATTTAAATAATAAATTTATCTATAAATTATATCTAATCAAATAATAATATTTAAATTTTAGTATCTTATATCTTTTTCTAATAGTTTATCTGATGTTTTATGTCTTAATACCTTTATCTGATATTACATTAGTCACTATCATGTACAACCATTTAAAAATAATAAGTAAGAATACTCACAATATCTCATTTTCTTTAAGCATTTATTTATGACAAAAAAATTGTCTTACGTAATTTTGATAACTTTTAAGGGGTCGTTTAGTTCACGAAATCGTAGATTCTGGGGAAAAAAATGATCCATAAAAAAATGCGATAACCGGGGTTTTCTTTTATTTTTAGAGCAGCTTATTTTTAGATTCACTCATTTGATTGAAAGGAATACACATATTTTAAATCTTAAATAATTATTATAATCTCTTTGGAATAATAATTATAATATCTAATTTTTATAAAAAGATTACTAAAGGCACTTTTGATCAAAAACGCCTTCAATAATCTCTTCTTAAAAATTGAAACAGATTACTCAAAGCGTTTTTGGCTAAAATCACCTTGAATAATCCCCTTAATAAAAATGAAAGCGAAATATTGAAAGCATTTTTTACTAAAAACGCCTTCAATAATCCCTTCTAAAAAATTAGAAGGATTACTCAAGGTATTTTTTACCAAAAATGCCTTCAATAAAAATTGAAAGGGGAATATTGAAGACATTTTTAGCCAAAATACCTTCAATAATGTTTTATAAAAAATTGAAGGGGATTACTCATGGCATTTTTTGTCAAAAACACTTTGAATAATTCCCTCCAAAATATTTGAGAGGATTATTGAAGTCATTTTCTGAGTAAAAATATCTTCAATAATCCCTTCTAAAAAATTGAAGAGAAATATTGAAGGCTTTTTTGACAAAAAACGCCTTTAATTATCTCTTTAATAAAAATGAGTGGGGAATATTAAAAGTATTTTTCGTAAAAAAACACCTTAAATAATCCTCAATAAAAAATTAAAAAAAATTATTAAAGGCGTTTTTAGCAAAAAAAATGCTTTGAATAATCCATTCAATTTTATGAGTGGATTATTCAAGGCATATTCTAAGAAAAAACAACTTGAATAATCCCTAATACAAAATTGGAGGGGATTATTCAATGCGTTTTTGACCAAAAATAAGTTTAATAATTATCTCATAAAAATTAAAGGGGATTATTAAAGATATTTTTTGTCAGAAACGCCTTCAATAACCCCATTAAATTTTATAAAGAGATTATTGAAGGCATTTTGGCCCATAAAATGCCTTAAATAATTTCCAAATCGAGTGATCATTTTTTAAAATATTATTCAAGGCATTTTTATCCAAAAACGCATTGAATAATCAACTCATAAAATTGAAGTGAATTATTGAAGGTATTTTTTTACCAGAAACATCTTGAATAATTTTTATTAAATTTTTTGTTTCAAAAATACCTTGAATAATCCCCTCTAAAAATATTTGAAGGGATTATTGAAGGTATTTTTTGAGAAAAAATGTATTCAATAATCCCTTCTAAAAAATTGAAGAGGAATATTGAAAGCGTTTTTGGCCAAAAATATACTTAATAATCTCCTCAATAAAAATGAAAGGAAAATATTAAAGGGATTTTTAGTAAAAAAATACCTTGAATAATTAACCCATAAAAATTGAAGTGGATTATTAAAGGTATTTTTTTTGTCAGAAATGTCTTGAATAGTCTCTATTAAATTTTTGTTTTGGGATTATTCAAGGTGTTTCTAGCCAAAAACACCCTAAATGGCCTGAATAATCCCTTATAAAAATTTTAATGGAGGTTATTCAATGCATCTTTGGCTAAAAACACATTTAATAATTCTCTCATAAAAATTTTTTAGGGATTATTCAAAGTGTTTTTTTTCAGAAATGCTTTAAATAAACTCATTCAATTTTTTTGTAAATTGAAGGTGTTTTTTATGCTAAACACCATATATAAACCAAATTTTTTACTAGAATGATACCTACAACTAACTTACATTTATTTTTTAACATGCTTTTCAAAATAGTAATGGCTATTTCATTCGATCACTATATTTTTATTGTTATCATTCATCATTCATTTTCAGTTGGTATGTAAAAAAAAAAAACAAAAGATTTGCATGCTTTATTTATAAATATCATATAAAAACATAAATATAGTAGTAACGTGGAAAATTAAGGAAAGCAATATTCAAACAAATACATATGGTAGCAATAATTAATTAATTTACTGTAATATCATGTCTCTTATTCTTCAAAACAGCCGAACATGATGTATAGTTACGTTGGAAATCACCAAAAGCAGGAAAATTTAGCTTGAAAAATTGAAAACATTTTAAAACTACTCAGGACCATGACAGAAAGTCGAAGACTATTTAAAATGAAAACATTTATTTTTAAATGGAAGGTCCATCCAATTAGTTTGTTGAATGTGATGAGGGATGAGGTGATACATGAGATAAGAGAATTTTATTTAAATTTAAATTGTTTTTTTATTTAAATTTTAAAAATTTTACATAATTTAGTAATTTTTGAAATATATCTTTTAACAGATAGTTTAAAATCAGTAAATATCTTATGTGTCATTAAAAAAAAAATTTAAGAAATTTTTTTATGTGTTGAAAAAAGAAAATATTCATATAAATGTCCACGTTAATAAATTTTATCTGATAATTATGTATATTGTAATAACATTTATATACATATATATATATATATATATATATGATTTGTTTTGTATCCTACCTACCTTATGCAACCTCTTGACAGGTTTGGATTTATTAATAAATAACTACCTCATGCTACCTCGCGACATGTTTAGATTTGTTATAAATAAGGATTTCAAAATAAAAAAAGCTGTTATTTAATAAGAAAGATAAATGATAATTTTTTAAGTGAAATTTATGAATTTTTTATTAAAAATAATTTAATAAAATTAAAATTATAAATTAATAGAGTTCAATGAAAATATTAATAATATATATAAATACTTAAAAATATTATTTATAATTCAAATTTGATAAGTACTTATTTAACAATAAAAATTATATCAAATTTTTTACTAAAAATATTTATCTAAAAAATATATCAAATTTCATTACATTTTTTTTTAAATTTACACACTTCATCTGTTTAATAAAATCTCTCAATTTATCAATTTTAATTTTTGTATTAAAAAAATTTGATGAATTTTATCTAAAAAATTTCACCTAAAATTTTTTTTTTTATTATGACCTTTTAAGTGGATAAATTGGAGAATGAGATGGGAATGGACAAAAAACTTTACTTGACCTGCAAATACCGCCGTTTTTATGGGTCCACCCTCATTTAGAAGTGGCGATTCTCACATTTATCAATATGATAATAACCCATTTATCATTATAGAAGAAAGCAATATGATAATAAGAATGATGACAATGGGAACAGAAAACAAATTACTTTACCAGCAACTACAGCTGTTTTTTTTTGGCTCCAGCCCCATATTCGAATCTGTAATATAGTATAATTTTTTCAAGTTTAATTATTTTTCTTTTCAGGCTTAATTTTTTAAAAATTCAAGTTATATAAATTTTTCTGCAGATTTTTTTTAACACATTCTAGCAGTTCTAGAATTTAATTTATAAGATTCTTTTTTAAGTTCTGTTATGTATAGTTTATATTATAATTTTTAAATTATGTTTTAAAGCATTGTTTTGTTGAAAATAATCCAATCAATCCAACCATTTGTCACTCCAGCCCCCATGCATTATGTACGTCTAATTGTGGTGGCCAACCCATGTCATGCGAAAATAGAAAAGGGAAGCTGTTGCTTGTTTTCCTAGTGGTGGGTTGCATATGAAATACAACGTGAAACCAATGTGTGCATGGGTGCGAATGTTGAGTGGAGTCAAAGTTGAATATTTGGGCCACTACAGAAGATAGATATAATTTGGATTAGTCCCATTTTTGCAAAAGGACCGCAAACGCGCAGTGCTCGGAGTTTCCTACGATGCGCATTGCTCCGCTAACTAGGGCCCATCCGGCTAGTGCAGCTGGATGAAGACTGTGAAACAAAAATGGCCCAAAACAGAACTAATCGAATGGTTTTAACAAGTGTCATAAGCAGCAAAAGCCGAAGTAGTTTGTAACAAGTGATATATTCTTGCAAAGTGTCGCTGTTGTAGACTATTTTTTATCAGACTTCTACTACAACTCATCCAACTAAACATGTGTTTTGCTTTCCTTCTTTCTTTTAACTTCCAGTCTTTGTAGAATACACGCATAACTTTCACCATGCCATTGTTTTTGGAAAGGACGTTCAAGAGATTTTTATGGTGCTGGATATTACAAGATGCCAGCATTGCTGTCTGTTTCACAACAGCACCTGAAATCAAATTTGGCTAGATCGTTGTTTGCTGTTACCATTGACCATAATCTCAGGAAGGGAGGCACCAGTATTTTTAACATCCATCACATATTCAGTCACCACATGCAAAATGGTGCCATCGCACTGAAATCGCCACTGTTCCTCAATCCATCCATCGCATGTTCCAACTGTAACTCCCACTTGCATCTGCATCCTTGAGACACCCATTTAGATTCTTCTGAGGCCTGATGATCTTATCTGGATATATTGCCTACTGTTGTTCATCATGTTACTAACACACTTCTCCAACTACACCCGACTTCCACTTGCCAGCAAGCATAGACCATTGTAACCAACAATGGTGGCCACTGGTGGCTTCGTATTATTACTGGCATACCAAGCTTGTCTAGAACCATAAAAATTGTTATTTACAACCAGAATAATCGTGCCTGAGCTATCTTTACTTCCCGTCAAGACTAGCCCAGATTTGGGATTTCTTATGCTTCCGTCGGTCCAGATTTTGCATTTGGTGGCATCAGAGACAGCCGTGTCACAATCATAGATCATCACATAATTTCTGGAGCTGTGTCCATAAGTGGTTAAGCATTTTCCGCCTGATCGAATTGTGTTATCATCTATCTCAACGTCCACAATTGATTGGCCTCATTTTATCCACATTCTCACAATATTATTTTGTTTCTGTTGTGGTAGCTTCCCTGGTATACATAAACACACATGCTATTTTGTCCAGTAATATGCATGGTTGGTGCTAACGCTCTTTCACGTGTCACCTTGGTCCTCTAGGCTAGTGGATCTCATAGCCATAAGCAACGAAGAAGCATACCCAAATGATGAAATCGATGCGGGCATGCGCAAAAGCAATAGATTAGCTACCGTGTTTATGCATGTTAATGGCATTATTGCAATAATGAAAAGCACTTGTCTCAAGTTGCTCAAAAACCATGATTGACTATCACATTCTCAACGAACAGCTGTTCTGAAGAGTCCATCCGTTGAAGATTGGATGGCAGAGGAGATTTGTCACCATCTGTTTTGATACTCTATCATTAAACTATATGGATAAATCTTTCTATAAATTCCATCCTTATTAGGCTCTGCAACTGCAAGTACTTCTTGTTGGATGTTTCTAAATCGCACAGCTTTTGAAACCATAATTTGGATACGAACTATAAGGGCTCTAGCGATATATGGGGCCACAATCAGAACTGCGATGGATATAACTCATGTTTTCAATATGTTGACATAGTTCGCCAATTCCCAGAGGATT